CAAAGGAGATTCTCTCCTTCACACCCCCCTCCAATAAAGTGCCTTCAGCAGCTAAAACCAAATCCCAAATATCGGAGACTCATAATGACATCGTGAGAGTTAGCAAGGCAGCAGCTCCCCTGGTGATCGTAACAACACCGGTGCTTGAGAAGAGTCTTTGCTTCAAGGCATCTGGAATTGCTCTTGCAAGATCCATTGTCAAATGAGCTTTTTCCTTTGTTTAAAAATGTCAGCCCGAAGACCCCTGCCAGAGTGGTGGTATAGCCTGCTTGGGTTCACTCTGGCTCCCACAAGGCTTCAACAGTCCTCTTTGCCCCTCCTTGTCTCCAGGCTTAATTAGGAAATCATTTATCTTTATTGGCACTCTCTTTCCCCTGCTGCTTTGGCATTATTATTTTTTTTTGCCTTCATTCCAGTGCAGTGAGCTGTACAGGGAAGACCACAGCCCCATTCATTGTGGGTGGGGAATAATCTACAACTGGGAGCCCTGCAAGGAAGACCCCAGCAATGAATCTGCTCCAACTGGTATCGCCTGAGGGACTACTGTACAGAATCAGGAGAGGAGGGTATCCCTTGGCTCCACTTACAGGCTAACAATAGGGATTCCTGGTGATACTGAAAGTAGGACACTACTCCCAAGGGATGTCATATGGTCAGCCTGTCCCAAACTGAACTGCCAACCCTCTCCAACCTAATGATACGCCTGCTTCATCTCCCTTGGTAAAAGAGCACACAAAGAGAAGGGGCTGTAAGGACAGCCACAGCTCGGGGACTATCAGGCTACTGGACTCCAGCTGAGGATCTACATGTCCCAGGCTGAGCCCTCAGCATGACTTCAAGTGGGGAAGGTTCTCCACACCTCCACAAACAGAAACTCCCTTGGCTTTCTTCACAGCTGGCATTTGACTGTTTGCCAGGATAGTCAGGGAGTCAAAACCCAACTAAACCTCACAGGAGCCAGAGGCATCAGTCAGATCACAGCCACACTCAGCTGAAAATGGCATCACTTTGGCAGCTCAGAGAGAGAGCCACTCGCTAGGCTGTGCTTCCACTGCCACAGGCAATTCTTTCTGGGTAATTGCTCTAGGTTCCCCATCAACCGTGTTTTATTCAAATTGAGATGGAGATAAAATTCCGGCCAATAATTTCTTCCACCTTAAAGAGAAGTTTCTCCTTCGTGCAAGCCAGGCTTGCCCCAGCCTGTCACGCTAATTACAGATGGAACATGTAGTTCAGAAAGGAGGAATCAGAATTGTTCCCCTCCCTCCAGCAAATATCCATTGAAAAAAAAACCTGACTCCTTTGCCTGATGGCACCAGAGGCTTTGCTGGTAAGTTTAAAAACAGGAGGGAAGATGATTGATGGAAAAGGTGAAGAGCTGACATGCAGTCAAATGCTCCTCTCCTCCTTACAACACATACATCCCTTATTTTTAAAGAGATCTCCTATTCTAGGGATCAGATGAAAACCTGATCATAAAATAAAAGGGCTTCAATTACGCCTTCCAGAGACCTCCAGGCTCTTTAAACACACAGGGGGAGGAAAGCCAGGAATGAGTCACAGAGGGCAACCATGCTCTTCATATCTCCCATCCCATGCCTCTGCATGCTGAGGGTCACAGAGTTGCAGACAGATTCCAATGCAGAGCTGTGCCCAGCTCTGCCAGGGACTCACAGGGCCAAGGGAAACACCATGGACAACACCTCCACATCCTGGAGGGCTCCTTTTCCCTGGCTCCGGCAGAAAACTCCATCAGGTCTTTGGATCACACTTTTAAAGAAATGTTCCTGTGCATCTGGCCAGGTCCTGCATAGTCTGAGAAGCTTTTTACCTTGTGTCCCTTCTCTGTGAAGGTCCCTCCCCAGTGCCCCATTTCTGACCCTCTGAGACCCCCACTCTACTCTGAACTGAAAGGAAGCACAGAGGATTATCTGGAGACCAGTGTTAGCCATTAAGTGGAGACAGATGTATAAACCCCATCATTCTTGAATTAATCATCAGAGGGTAAGATTTCCTTTCAGAGCTTTACAGTTTAGGATGCTTATCCTTCCCTGGAGTCCTCTCCTAACATGCTGAAAGTAAAGATTTACACCCATATCCCGTGTCCCTCTATTAAACTTGGCCCCACCAGCTACATAATGAAGACATCAAAGCCACAAAGGTTCCTGGACCCTCAGCCTGCACTGAGCAATTTTTAATGTTTATTCCATGCAGACAAGACTGGAATAATGCAGGTCCAATGCCAGTGGACACTCTGCCTGGAGGGATTTTCAGTACTGAGACCCAGCAAACCCAGTGGAGGGGAGAAAGGTGGGAATGCCAGCCCACAGGTGGGCACAGACCTGCTTTGGAGAAGTGTTCCTGCCCTGCTGACTGCTTGACAAGGGTCAAATGCTTAACAGGGGGTTGTCATCTCAGAGCTGTCCCACAGAATCACAGAATCATTAAAGGTGGAAAAGACCCCTGAGATCATCTAGTCCAACCATTAACCCAGCACTGCCAAGGCCACCACTAACCCATGTCCCCAAGTGCCACATCTACACATCTTCTGAATATTTCCAGGGATGGTGATTCCAAAACTTCCCTGGGCAGCCTGTTCCAATTCCTGGTCACCATTTCAGTGAAGAAATTTTCCTTAATATCCAGCCTAGCCTTCCCCTCCCTTGGCACAACTTGAGGCCATTTCCTCTTGTCCCTGCCCAACAGCTGCTTGAGCCCAGTTTCCATAGCCTGGTCCCAGCACAAGACAGGTGAACTCTCCACTCAGTAGCACATTTTAATGGCAGCAGGGAGTAGAAAGTTGGAATGGGAAGTGATTCTAGGGATGCTTTGGGCTCACACCTTTGCTGCTGATGGAGTCTCAGGCACTGCAGGAGGCTTTCCTTAAAATGTTTATCCTTGGCTTGTTTTGCCAGCAGGAAGCCCTTCCAGCACACACACACATCTTTGGCCTGTCACGGGAAGGCTGAGAGCCAAAGTGTTGCCATAGAAACTGGTAAATGCAAAATTATGACTTGACAGCAGTGTCCTGAGGAAAGAGGATCAACCTTCTTCCATATGTTTCTGTCCCTGGCCCAGGGAGTGCGTGTCCCCCCTGCACCACTGTGGGTGGGATGCCCTCCTGTCCCTGCTTTGTGCCAGACACGGGGTGCCAGGAGGCAAGGAAGGACTGTGATATGTGGGAACACAGCAGGGAGATGCTGTGGGAGGATCCCACCCCAGGGAGTTTTGCTGGGTGTTTGGTGAGGGGCTGGTTGCTCTCTAGCTCTGAGGGACATAGCTCCCCAACACCCCTGCCTGCCTGCAGGGGTGCAGTGTCCATGGGATGGACGGGCTTCCCACGCCGGGATACAGAGGGTGGTGCAGACATTTCTCCAGGGCATCCCAGCTCCAGAGCCCATCAGTAAACAAGCAAGGCCATGAGGCTGACAAGGGCCACAAAAACACTGAGGGCAGCAGAGGAGAGAGGCAGGCACAGCTCTACTGCCTGCAAGCCCAGACATCCCTTCCTGAGCAGACAGCATCCAGTCATCCTGGATCTGCTGGTGCTTCCAGCACTGATCACCTCTGCCTCATCCCAAAACAAATCCTGGAGTTATTTTGAAGGAGCTCAACCATCTTGGGTGTGACTCTGAAATCAAACCCAACAGGACTGAAATTAAATTAGAATAACTGACAACATCCCAGTCGAGCACTGACTGATTTTTCTAACTGATTTTTTAGTGGCTTTTAATTTTAAAAATTGCTACTCTATCAAGTCAGTAATAAGTTACTCTTTGCACACTCAGGTATAACATATGTTAGCAAAGAATTAGTTTCAGGTTTTCCAAGGGGTCAGCCAGTTGCAAGCTGACTGCTGCTGCCTAGGTCAGGATATATGAATGTAACCGTAGTGATGATCATGGGATGAATTTAAGATACATCATGTGTAAATATTTGCCCTTGAAAAATATCAACATGGATCCATTTATATCAATTCCCAGTGAGAACCCCTCAGCTTGAATGAGGTGGTCCTGAGAGTGACCCTAGCAGTCACCCAAGATCTTTGTTGCACGGGGAGTTTGGAGCAGCCTTGATGGAGCTTTCCCTGGATGCAGCAGTCCAGGGATTTGCATGCAATGAGGTCTCCACTGGTGACTGTGGTCAGACACTATCATGATATACTCTTGCATCTCAGCCCTGGTTAGTCCAGAGAAGAGAAGACTGAGAGGGGATCTCATCAGTCCGTACAAGTATCTCCAGAGGGTGTCAAGAGGATGGTGCTGGACTCTTTTTAGTGGTGCCCAGCAACTGGACAAGGAGGAATGGCCATTAGTTAAAACACAAGAAGTTCCATCTCAACATGAGGAAGAACTTCTTCACGCTGAGGGTGGCAGAGCATTGGAACAGCTGCCCAGGGAGGTCACGGAGTCTCCCTCTCTGGATACATTCCAAACCTACCCGGACACATTCCTGTGTAACCTGCTCCAGGTGACCCTGCCTTGGCAGGGGTTTTGGACTGGATGATCTCCAGAGGACCCTTCCATCCCTGACAATTCTGTGATTCTGTGATCCTTGCAGTTGCCTTAGATGTTCCTGCGTCCACCTAAATTCAGAAGAGAACAAACCAATTCCTCCCACAGGCCTGTGGGTGGGTGGTGAGGCAACAGCTGAGTTTGGATAACTTCTGCATCCAACCCCACCCCCCCCCCCAGGTAAGCTGAGCTGCCTCCAACCAGCCTACAGCTGGCAGGGAAAGCCTTGTCTCCCCAGGTCGCTGGGCACCTGCCTCAGATGACACTCTTGCCCTGCTCCTCTCTCCACTACTCTCTGGGGACACTGGGAACCTTGCTCGCTCTCCCAGGCATGGTAAATGTGCTGAGCACAGGCCTGTGGCTCTGAGGAAGCCCCTCAGTGCTGCTCAGCAGTGACCTGGGGAGAGCAGCAGCACCTCCAGCCAGACAGTCCCTGGACCCAGACACTCAGTGAGCAGAGGCAGAGCAGCCCCATGTCATACTTACTTCCCATTCCCATACTTGATCCGGATGTCTTTGCTCTTCTTCAGCTCTTTGCCATCTTTAAACCATTTGTAGGATGGCTGAGGGTTGCCGGCAGCCGCCTCACATTTCAGGGAAATCTTCTCACCCACGTGAACGTTCGGGCTTTTCAGTTTCTTCAGTTTGGGGGCAACAGCTGCAAGAAGAGAAACGAGACACTGTAAGACCTGCCTCTTCCAGAGGCTGCACACACACAGCGGGAGCCCACCGAGCCCCCTGCCCTGGGAAAAGCACCTTCTGCCCCCACTGCTGCATGATGAGGGAGAGGGGCTGCCCAGGGGGAACCAGCACGGTCAGGGAAGGAGCAGGGAGGCAGAAATGTCCATGTGGGGAACAGAGGGAGCCCCTGGCTCTGGGGGCTCCACATGACCAGCCCTGATGGCTCCATAGCTGCCCCTACCCACACAGGCAGGACCCCCGGGTCTCCTGCCAGCACAAGGGTCTGCTGGGCGCTCCAGGCTCTCCCACCAAGCTCTTCAGAGACTGTTTTCCCCTGTTCCCTGCCATTGCTGCTGCTGATTGCCAACACCTACGTGACCCCTGCGGCTTCCATGGGCATGCTGCCAATCCCACAGCCTCACCAGCCCCAGCCAGAATGTTTTGTTGCAGAAGGAGCAGAGGCAGGTCACAGGGAGAAGTCCCCTGTTCCCCAGCAATGTGTCAGGGATGCTCCGTGCCTGCTGAGAAGACCTATGGTCATTGAGCAGGGCAGGGCCAGCAGCACTGAGAGGGGCTGCAATAAAAACCTGCATGTATAAAGGATGAGAAGGGGAAGGACAACCATTCTTCAGGCTGCAAGCAGAAAAGTGAAAGAATATAGGCGTATAAAATTGTCTTAGGCCAGCAGTGTCAGGTTGGCCAGCAGCCTTTCCAGCCTGGAGCCTGGCTCTGTATGTGGGTGTTTCAGAGAGGTGATTTTTGCCATGCACCTGGAACATCAGACAGAGAGGGAGACACTTCTTATCAATCTCTGCCAGGCTTTATATCAAACCTGACAAGAAAGGATTAGCAGGCTTGCAATTTTTCTTTCAACTGACGGCTCTGCACTCTTCTAGCTCCCTTTTTCATTCTCAGCATTAACCTTAAAAAAAACCCAGCAGCTTGCTGGTTTTGCCTTAAGAGTATGGGTACCGATGGTTTCCTTGTCTAAGATGAGTTACAAATGGAGCATTTCCTCTGTCTAACATGCACAAACCACCTTCTAATTGCCTCGTGCATTCTGATCTTGTGATATGGCAGAGCACTCAAAGGTGGAGGAACTGGATGGGTTTATTAGAGCAAGCACTATTTTACAGATCTCTGTATGTCTTGTTCTTCAAGCCAAGCTAAGTTTTCATAGATTGGTGTTATTTAAAGACTGTTTTCACCAAAAGGGATCTTATAAAAGATAAAAAGCACAGTGATCATCAGGCTCCTGTGGTAGGAAGTTCTGAAGACTCTCATGCTCCTCCCAGGAAGGAGAAGCCAAATTGTCCTTAATCAGAAAGGTACAAACACAGATAGAAATGGAACAATTTGGGGTAACAGGAATTAGCTGAGCAAAGCTCACAGTGACTGAAAGGCAAACCCAGAGCCCTGGGTGGGTAACGCAGCAGGTCCAGTCCCAAGCACATCAGACCTTCCACTGCAGCCCCAGTGGTGCCACAGCAAAGGAGCAAACTGAAGATCCAGGAGTGCAAAGGATGTTTAGCACACCAAGGAAAAAAACAGTAAATAAATGGAACAATAACCCCCACCAAATATTCTTCCCAACTGCTATTTTTGCATGCCCAAGCCCCTCTACAGGCTCCCCAGAAACCTGTCCCACAGGCAGCAGGATGGGGACGGGGGGGGTGGACTTGGTCGGATGAAGGACAGTGACTTTAAGCTGCAGGAGGGTAGACTTAGATTAGATTTTAAGAATAAATTCTTCCCTGTGAGGGTGGGGAGGTCCTGACACAGGCTGCTCAGAGAAGTTGTGCTTGCCCCATCCCTGGAAGGCCAGGTTGGACGGGGCTTGGAGCAACCTGGGCTGGTGGAAGGTGTCCCTGCCCATGGCAGGGGGTGGAACGAGATAAGCTTTAAGGTTTTTTAAGGTTGATCCAACCCAAACCATTCCATGATTCTGATGGGACAGGGACAGTACAAAAAGCACCTGGTCAGCTGCAGGCAATCACTGCAGGCTGCACACTGATATCTGGCACTGCTTCCCAGGTCACCGTGCCTTGGCACAGGGAGGCTTCTGACCAAAAGCCATCTCAATCTTTCCCCAAGTCTCAGGAATTCAGTGAAAACCCAAGGTGTCATGGGTTTTGTGAAGCCCATATCCTTGATCCTTGCCTGGAAATGGGATGCCCAGAAGAGTGGGAAGGCAGGGAATGGAGAGGAGAGCTTGTCTCTTCTCAGAACACTGTGCATGGAGAGCCAGGAAGGTAAACAGGACCTTGCTTTTATAGGGGTTATTTTGGGGCAGAGAGAAATAGACTCTATCAAATATTTATTCTGTCTGATTGTGTGTGTCAGTTTGCTCCTATTGCACCCCGAGGTCACCCTGTCCCATGCCAACAGTATCCATATGCCTTAAATACTGGGAAGGTTCTGACCTTGGCAGGGGTGTATCTGCTTCGTATTATTTCCAGCCTTGTGGTCTGCAGAATTATGAAGCACCTTTCTCCTGAGAGAAAGGTGTGCAACCCTGCCCCTCTCCCCCAAAATGCTAGCAAGAACAGGGTAAATCCCAGAAACCTGGAGACTGTGTAAGGAGACCACCAAGGACAGGCAAGAAATCTTCCAAGATCTCCATTCCCCAGTTCCTCCCCACTAACATGAAGCACATCTCACCCAAATCTCTGCACCTCTTGCACCTTTTGCTCTTGGCCACTGGTTATAAATTCCAGGATATTCCTAAACAAGCAGGTCCAAAGAGACACATGCCAAGGGTGGCAGAGGTGGATCTGACACTCACACGTTGCATCCCATCCCTGCAGCAGAGAGTCCTGCCCAGATAAAGGGAGGAGAACATCTTTCCTCCCCAGTCTGCATGGATTTGGTGTCTCACTACAGGGGCAGTGCATTCAGCTCCAAGCCACATGTCATGGACTGTAATTCCCCAGTTGAATCAGGCAGGGCAGTGAAAGGGGAATCCAGCCCAGAAATATTCTGGACTGTGCCTGGGAAAAGCACTGTGCACAGAGAAGCAGAGCTGTGCTCCCTGACACACAGCACATCTGTGCCCTCACTGCTGCTCTGCAGTGTGGCTTGTGCTTGGACAGCAGCGTGGGAAGAGCAGGCAGAGCCCCAAGCCTGGGACACAGCACCCAGAGCCATGCTCTGGTCAAAAGGGAAGCCTGGCCTTGGTCTCCGGGAAGGGCTTCTCTGGGCTGGAAAGCCTCACTTCATAATTCCTGCATCTTTCAGAAAAACACAGAAACCCTCATTTAGAGCCATTAACTGCTGATGACTCTGCTTAATTCCAGCCAAAGACTTTCCTCTGGTTTTTACTTGCATTGTTTAAACTGCAGCCCTTACTCATAGTATGAACTTCTCTAACTTTGGCTTCCAGCCAAGAGATCTCTCTGCCTTTCTCTGGTAAATTTGAACCCCATCTAGCAACCAGAAACCCCTTTCCTTTTTAGGTACTTGTAAACTATGACTGAATCACCTTTCAACCTTATCCAGCAGTAAACTAAAGTAGCATGAGAGGCCAAAGCAGCACATGGAGTGCTAACACTGGAGTATGTCAAAGTTTTACATTTTGGTTCATTTTCAGCTTTTGCCTCATTTCTCATCTCTGCCCTGTTCAAATGACAGAGTTGCAGCTCAGAAAGCCATGAGTGTCATTCAAACAGATGTAAGTGCTCCCTTTATTTAGTGTTCTGAACATTTTGGGTCATTTTAATCTCCTCCTTGCTTGGTACTTTTTCAAACACTCCAGGAAAACAAAGTCCCCAGCTTCATCCATATGAAAATAACACACTATCCCAGGCAAACAGTCTCAGGTGTATACCAGGCAGGGTCCAGGTCCAATTTCCCCATGTTTCCATCAATTCCCAGCTCCCCAGCCTCTTCCTCACAGGTTACTGCTGCTCAGATGGGATCAGAAATGAAGCACTGACCCAGGGTCACCCAAGTCACCTCATCCCCCTGGCACAGGCTGAGCTGAAGCTGCTGTTCCAGCTTTCCATCCTCTGGATCTCACAGAACTGCCCTGCCAGCTCATGGTCTCCTCCAAGCTGGGCTCCCCCCGCCTCCAGGTTCACCAAAACGGGAGGAGGGTTTTGGCTGTGCTTGTCAGACTGAAGATACAGCTTAGGATCTATCTCTGGTCACCTTGCAGTCCTGTCAACCCCTCCTCTATCCAAATTTGATCCTCCTCTCCACGGGGTGAAGAGCCACCAGCCTCACAATGCCTGAGGTGTTGGACAAAGGGACCAGCTGCATTCCAGGCAATTTTTCTAATAGACAACCCCGCTGAGGGTGGGTTGTGCTGCAGAAAGGAGGGTTGCATCTTGGTAGAGCTGAGACCAGCAATAAACGCAGATTTTCTACAGGTTTTTGCTCACTCCAAGGTCAGATGAAACCCCAGCAACTGTTAGATCCCAGCCTACACTAGCTGTGTAGAATTAACCCTAAAACATGCCAGGGCCAGGATCAACAAATGCACATGATTTCCTAACCCGTTTTAGGAGCCATGTTTGGTCAAGACACCTTTTCAAGAGAGGTTTATCCTCTGATAACAACTGCTGCCAAGTCACCACCTTCTCACAGGGAAAAGAGGGTTACAAAAGCTTAAACCAGGAGCTCTAAATTACGCAACACCGGTTGTTTGAACCTCCGCCATAAAAGGACTCCCATGTACACATTGCTTTAATTAATTCACTTCTGATTACATTTGATATAACACTGAAGTACCTTGATGACAACACCACCTCTTTCACTTCTGGTACCTGCAATATGCCTGCAAGCACCTCGGAGCCTCAGCTCAAAACATCATTAATCACGGGAGGGCAGAGTGCCCAAACAGAGTCCAACAATGGAGTGGTGACAAAACCACATCCCATCCACAGAGCATCCCACATAAACAACCCATCAGCAGCAAAAAGTAGGAGAAGTCATCCTGGGAAAGGTGCTCTGTGAACTCTGTAACAGCCAGACACA